CTGGCATGTCTAACCAACCCCCACATCCAGCAATCATTTCCCCTATTGTTTGAAAAATAAAAAAATAAAAATGGGATCGGGTCTGATATGGCGGTAAGAGTTGCCGTCCTGTGACAAAGTGATCATTAATTCAAGGCATTATAATGATCTCTTGCAATAATGCAAGGTAAGACTGCGTACAATAGACATAATATGGTTCAACCTTTCCCTGGACTTCATGCATAACGGGAGCTTAGTGTATTAAGCTGTCCTTTCTTACACCAAATCAGCTTGTATAAAATATATTCATTGATTTATCAGTTATCCCAAATGAAAAGCTCAATGATTTTAGAGATGCAAAGAAAACACAAAGCAAACAGCTGATATATAGAGATCCATATCAGCAAATCATAACATTAGTTACTGTACATAAACTTGCAGACTTAATTGTTGAGTGTTGAGTAAGCTTACTTTGTTCCTTTCAAACAATAGATAGGAGGTGTAAAATTAACATTCTTAATCAGTGTTTTGAACAATAACAAAGTAGGGAAACTGTGTATGCAAAAAGTATGTCCTTGAACCTTCTTTGTAACCAAAGTATCCACCAACTCAAAAATATACAATTTTCAGATGGTATCACGTGTCTGCACTTTGCAACTGACAGAAGATAAGAATTTGCTGGTATAAATTGCTGATGAGCAAAAGCACAACAAAAACCTGCAATTTACATTTCTGAACAACGCCGTGGTATATATAAACATTCAATTACTATCTCGAATCTAGATGCTCTTTCCGTGGGGAACAAAAGATGGAGAATTTTGAATCCCTCCCAAAACAATTAGTTCGAGGTCCGTACTCTGGTTCATCATCATCACTGTCGATAATACTTGCATTTGTCCGATTCTGGTGACCTCTGCGCCGTAAAAGAAAGACGTTAAAGTGGTAGCTGACCAAAGATTCCCTACTTTTGTTAGGAAAGATCTTGAATATTTCATTCCAAAAACTCTTGTTTGTCGACAAAGGGTTCAATTTCACTATATCCTGGAATTTCTTTTCTTCTTCTTTTGTCCAAGAAAGTGCAACTTCTTCGCCCATCAAGTCAAATTTCCAACGATAAAAGGCTGATCCCAACTCAAGTTTAACCTTTCTCCGTTTCTCAGCAAGATGAAACTTGATGCATTCATAAGAACCTGGGTATTGGCAGCCGCATATATCTTCTCTTCCTCTTCCAATAGGATCTCTTTCAATCAACATTCTGTTTTTTTCTTGTTTGTCTAGCGGCCAGATTTGGGTGCGCAACCATTTGGAGTCACTTTCACACTTCTCCTGCCTCCATTCAGGAATATCTGCTTGAAACTGTGGTCCAACTGGTATTCTCTTTCGACGCTGTTTCCAATAAAGACCAACTTCTGACTCTGCAGAAGAATCAGCAGGTCCATCAATCGGATCCTCATCACTTGGATAACTTGAGGATGATGATGCTGAAAAGAGAGCCTTCTTCAATGGATTTTTAGCAACTAGAACCCGCTGGCTACATCTTACTCTCTCAGCAGCAGCATCCTCGTCATACATAGATGGATGCATCTTCTGTTTAATCTATAAAGCAAGGAAAAATTATTATTTAGCCAAAGCTTCGACAAGAGTAAATACTTCACATGGGCTTGAATATCGTTGCAAATGATTGGTTACGCATCTGAATGCAAGTGCGATGAAGAAAGGTAAGAGTTCAAACGAGAGGACGCTCCGGACTTCAACTCTGTACACTCTGTGAAGATGATCCAAATACAGAAAAAATGAACGAATACATCCTGGTCACTGTCATAGGCGATTGCCTCGGGGAAATACATTCAACGTATAAAAAGGGTCACAAAAGGAAACATGGAACTCCAGATATGTGTGTACTGTTACAAGTTAGGAATGTGGAAGTGCATTATAAAGATATCTGGAACATGCTACACAATTGAAAATGGAAACACAAAAAACAGCATTTTTTGAAAGAACAATACTTCAACAAATTAAACATGAAGTAATTTGTTGGTTTACCCAGCAAAACTTAAGGGATTCAACAAGGATAAAAGAGGCTATGCCAGCTCCAGCATACTAAAATTGGCAACACATGATCAAGATAAACAACTTAACTAGGAAATACATGGTCTGCAAGTGCTGACCTGCCCCTACTGTATTTTGGTAATCAAGGACGCCAATTCCCCAACTAATCACAAATGACAAATGCCAATTCCCCAGCAAAACAGTCTTTGTGTGGTCATTCAAAATAGTAATGCAGTGAACGATTTGGAAAATTAAACTCAGCCATCCAAATTACTACACCATTTTGTAGCTTATCAACATAACATTAGCAAAAATATGGAACTTACTTAAGTACCAAAATTTCTGCATTTTTGTGCATACCATTTAAAATTATGTCATTTGCAATTCTTTCACAGTAATCACCTTAATTTTTTTTTCTAAGAAAAGAATAAACTCTACACTTATGATTACATCATAGTTCATCGCACTAGCCACAGATCTCAATAAGCACTCAAAAAATTAAATGGTCAGAATGCGGAACCAAACTCGTCCAATAACTGAAGTTCAGCTGATACTTTCCAGTGAGATAGGTTATTTATTTACAACTATAAGTAGACAAACTACGTTAAGCTCAATCAATGTTCTAGAAAATATGATTAGCATTACCCATTAAAAAAGAGAATCAAGAACCAGTAAATTTGTCAAGATCCATTTAATAAATATTAAGATAAGATCCATAAGACATGAATTAATCATATCTCAACATCAATACAATTGGGTGGGGGAATATGGTCCTTCTCCATCCCCTCCCCCAACCACTCCAAGATCACTTTATTTTATCTCCTTTTGAGGACTTTCATGGTTTTTATGAGAGGAGAAAATTCCATCATATCTAATTTAAGCAAACGCTTTTGCTTCATATCTTATTCTTTTCTGGCTTCAACTATCTAACTAAATGTGACTAATTATGAACTTCTTTCACTATTTATCTCATCTAGTACTGTTTTAGATCATTCATTTTGCCTTAAAAGGGCAGTTTATAATGTTTCCAGCAAATACCATCAAGCTCCACTCTACATCTCAAAATAGGCTACATATTTCATTTTTAAGATTTAAACTAATGATTGATTAATTACAGTTTACTAAAACGTTCTGTTTGTTTGTAATATTTTAGGACCTTGATGTCTATTATGAATCTGAATCTTAATGGTCGGGTGTGTGTGGGGGCTAAGTTGCGCGGACTCTTCGTTTTTGGTGCCGCACCCGTCTCGACACGGGACAAGAGCGAGTGTGGGATATGTCCCGGATTCGGTCAACTATCTTCGGATACTTTTGACCTGAGTCCATCGACAAATTTGGAACGAAATTGAGATTTTGATTTCCAAAATTAAAAATAAAACAGATTTAAGACATAAGAAATGACATACCTTCAATATTGTAGCACTTTTGTCTTATTTTTGCTGCTTTGTGTTTCAGAAAAAACAAGAATTCAAGGGGTCGTGTTCTGAGTTGGGACTTCTGGTAGACAGTAGCAGCGATATAGATGGAGAGTTGCTATAAGGCCTTAAATGACTTTCTTTTTCTCTTTATAGCTCTATTTTTTATAATTTTGAATTTTTTTAGTCGAATCTCCGCACCCCTATCCATACCTGGATGCTGGAACCACGCCCCCGAATCTTAAATTTAGATTTTGCCGAATCCGACACTCGGATCCGTGCCCGTATCGGATGCCCGCACCCGAGTCCGAGCAACTTAGTGTGGGGTTGGGGGTGGAACTAAACTGAATCATTTTTCTTTTCTCAACTCAAAATTAGTACATTGACTCTTAACAGCTAACTGTATCCCATAAAATGAATTGATTGAATTTACAAATTTTGTGAATTCAAAGTTACTAAACAATTCGGAGTGAGTACATATCAACCTATTCAATAGCTCCTTGATCACACTCCGGATATGTCACATGAGACAAAATAAAATAAGACTTATTCATTTTTTTTTGTTTCAGACTTGAAACTTGCTTATGTTACTCATAATTTTGCACAGCACACAAGATTCTGGGAATGTGCAGAAAACCGGCTAATGTGATTTGAGTGTCCATCTATTGATATTACTCATGATGTAAGGGAGTTGAATTGGTTGAGCTGCTAAGTTCCAGATTGCTATTTGGTTGGTGGCTTACATTTACCAGTCTACTGAATTCACCACAAACAACCGGTAGTAAGTAACAAAATATAAATCAGCAAAGAAAACAAAAATGCTTGAAAATGTTTCAATTGGTTTATCTAGCTTGAAAGGGATATAATAATACCTACTAGAAAAGAGATAAACGTTAAATTAGCTAAATGCCCTTAATTAAAATAGCAAAGGGCACAAATTAGCATGTATTTCCTTACTTGAGTCACTAGGAATTCATCTCTAGTGTAGATTAATACTTGGATTATAACCCCCTTTTAACCCCATATACATTTAAATCAGTGTTTTAAAAGGTAAAGTTGGGACTCACCTCAGGACTCGCCCTAGGTGAGGCAATCTATAAATACCAAGAAGCGACCATGGGAGTTGAAATTTCATGGACTAACACCTCAATAGGTGGGATATTTGTCCCATGCATGTAGGAATGGCAAGTGGTGCGGGGCGGATTATGCCTTAACACGCAAAATTTCAACCCGCCCTGCCCCCGCAGGGAAGCAAAACACAAGACTGAACATTAATAACAATATCTTTTGATATTTGGGTTTTCTTTTTTGCTTTATAATTCACTTAAGTATTTGTGAATTAAAGCTGGATTTTGTTACTATTTGCAAGAAAGATAAACAGAAAAAATTGAAAGTTTTCACTGAAATCGGAAGCTAAATCCAAGTAACAGATTAAACCAAATTAAATTCTTAATGTATTAATTGTTGTGAAGTTAAGTCTACAGGTTTAGATGACAGAACGATTTCACGACATAATATGATTTGATATCTATATAAAGGATTTGACTCTTCTGCATTCTATCAGTGATAGAGAGCTTCGGGCTTCTATCTTTAGAGGTGGAGCAGAGAGGGGAACAACAAAGGCTGGAGAGAATTAGCACAAAGTCACAAACCCGCACCCGCATCGCACAGGTTTTTAAAAATTTATTTTGACCCACCCCTCACCTGCATTTGTCTAAACCTGCCCCGCCCCGCATATGTCTAAACCCGCACCGCCCCATTGCCATCCCTACATGCATGCTTTATACCTTCTACTATTTATCACAAACACCCCAAGAAAGTCATGTGCATACTTTATGCCTTAATTATTTTCCTTTTACACCCTAGAACATTTTTGCTTTATTTACTATTTTTTAAATATTTGACTATAAATTACTCCTCCCNGCCACACAAATATTATGGCATGTTTAAGACTACAAGTTTCCAAAACCTTCCTTTTTTTAAACTGCCAAGTCAAATTATACCACATAAATTGAAATGGAGGGAGTATATAATACGTTATTTTATAACAAATAATATGTTGAACATTATTTTGCCTAGATAGCATATCAATTTTTGCTTTTGAGTTTTATATAACTCTTATTGGATTTTCTATAGTTTTTAATAATTTAATCTATTTTATTTTAAAATATTAAGATGAATTCTGCTGCTAACCCCATGATAAGTGACATGTCCCATCCTACGGTTCCACCTTTTTTCTTTTGATAACCGAGAAATCCCACGTCAGTGGCACACTGTTTGAAACTTGGCGGATAATAGGCCCGCCTCTACCCTTTTCCACTTAAATAACAAGTTTTTGTCAGCACCTAACCCACCCATCGTGCGTTGTGCTCTGACCACTAGACCAAAGCCCTAAGGCCCCCTGCACCTCGGTATTTTAAAACACTAATTTATTCACTTGTGTACATTAACCAAACTGTTTTCTAATTAAGGGCCAAACTGTTTTACATTTTCTTCAGAGCCTAGATGATCCAAACGTTGGCAACCTGCTATATTATTGACCTATCTTATTTTCATCATTTGACCCTCAAGGATAATTAGCATTTTGATCATCTTTCTCTTATATAAAGCACAAGATCCAAGCACTGATCTTCTTTGTTCTCTTGAATTTGGCACATCCAGTCCCTGGCGGAGCCACCTTACTCTTCGCCAGAAAATTACACTATGTAGCTTGGTCAAAAATTTATTTTTATGTATATATGTATTAAATGTTGAATCCCCTTAGCTACTTCGTGTGTTAGCTAATTTATATTTCGACACTCCTTAGTGAAATTCCTGACTTCGCCACTGTGTTTGGTATGCTACTTCATGTAAAATTAAACTCTAAGAACCTGCCAAAATTAGGAAGACATCGAAGCTCCATGTCTGACAATATATTAATCTGGTGGAGCACTGGGCTCATATGGTTAAACATCTTTTGAGTAAAAATGTGTTGTCTAATACTCTAATATGAAACCATGTTTTGCTCACAGTCCTCAGCTAGTGCATTCTTATTGTGCTTTAAACAAATAAAACAATTTCCCCTGTTCAGGTAATGCAACCACAAATTTGAGTTGTAATGCATGCAAATGCCACTCATAACAGGGTCTTCCTTGCTCAATCTTTCGAGACGAAGAATCATGAACAATAGCAGAAAAGTTATCCAAGCTGAAAGTTAAAATCTACATGGCGATAAAAATGTTACTAAAACAGAGTCTGCATTCTCATCTCATTCAGAAAGCAGTTCAATACAGCCTTTTGATATTTGAAAGAATGTACTAAGCACAATGAGATAGATGACAAGTATAAACGACGACACATTATATGATGCATCACAAGTTACACATTCAAGCCCAAAAAGGGAAAGAGTAATATACCTGCCATATCGAGCACTGAGCACTCGTATCTGCATTTCTTCTCAAAAGCATTTCATCTCGCAGCAGCAGAACCTGCTTCCAAATTACATCATTCCCGTAAAACTTCCACTTAGACCTTTCTGGCAAAGACCCAATGGCAGGATCACAAGGATCTTTCGCGACGTTAGTAACCCACCTCAGCAAGTCCGTGTAAGACTCTCGTTTCCTCTTCCTATTGTTCTCATCTTCCATCACCACACTTGAATTCATTTGCCTAATTTCATCTGTGCCACAATCATCACTTCGTCTTCCACTGACAAATTTCGAACATTTATCATCATGACCGACACTGCTCTTTTCATCAACATCCTCTAGTATACATTCATTAAGGTCCGGACTTATATTTCCATCAAATTTCTTAGAGTGTTTATTGATGAAAACAAAATCATCAGCTTCGATATCATTGCAAAGCTGTTTGACAGTATCAAACTCACTCTTAGCCAAGTCAACATTTGCATATCCTCCCTCATTTTTGTTCTTTTCATCTGAAATTTTCATTAAAATCTCCCTCAAATCCAGCTCAAGTTCCATCTGAACCCTACCCAAAAGCCAACCACACTTTCTCACTTCACTCTTTGCGTTATTGTCTAAGCACAATTCACTTGTTTTGATCAATCAAAGAGGGTTGCCACCAGCAAGGATGTACACGTACAGTGTATTGTATGGGTTGGGCGAACCTAGTAATTTTGGTTCAGAACTTGTATATATGGTAATAAATCCACCAAATATATACAAATATTAAATTTCGAACTCAATAGTTAGCACTTGAGGTCGTTGTCCTAGAAAGCGGAACTCATAAAGTTCAAATCCTAAATCGCTTATGATTGCCACCACTCGTTAAGGTTATCGGTTGAATCCTCATACACTTCATGCATTCTTTCAATTAGACAGTAGTACGTCAATTTCACAACCAAGTCAGAACCTGACTCCAAACCACACTGTTACCAGCAACACCTCAAGACCCACTCAGGGGCGGACCTAATGCATTAGTTATGGGTTCGTCTTAGTCCAGTAGTTTTCGTTCAGATCCTGCATATATATTAAAAATATCCACTTAATTAGTATAAAAAAATAGATTCCCAACCCAATAGATCAAATGGGTTTTGGTAGAGTTCCGAACTCAAACCCACAAAGTTGAAATCATGTATTCGCCTATACTTTCGGAAACCCTATGGTAGACACTTTTCTTCCTCACAACCAGGTAAGTACTATTTTGGAAAAAAACAACTGTTTTCCTATTGAGTGAGACCTTGTATTAACAGTTTCAAATTACTATTATCATTTGCAGTCCTCAAAATCTGTTTTATAGGATTAAAGCAAGGTTATTTTTCAGGCGTTCTTAAGCTTTTTAGACATGACCCATCAACTTTCTTCGATAATCCTGCCATTGACATGCCAATTCAAAACCTATGGAGAATTTTGTACATACACAACCCCAGAAAAACACAAAAAAAAAAATGTAATTTTTAGAATTAATTTAAGACCATTTGTTAGAGGTTGTAACAATCCACAAGTCTGGTATTAGGAGGATAAAATAGAAGGGTTTGCGATATTGCTTAGGCCATTAAACCCAAAGGATATTAGTGGGTCGATTAATTTTGGGCGTGACTACATTAATTTTTAGATACTAAGAGAAAATTTTGGGACCCTAATGAATTAAAGACACTATTTGCTTCTTGATAGAGACAAAGACATAGGTCAAGGGTATGTTTGAAATTTTTTAAACAGGAACAGTCCCATAGGTAGATAATGAAATTGTGAAAAGAAATTCTTGGAAGTAGCAGTAAAATACCTTATTGGAAGGACAGGGTAGGGTGTGACATATCTTCTTTCTCTATTGTCAAATTCTTGGCCTTCTTTTCTTGCCCCTTTGGTTTTCTAAGCCCTCTTTTTATTCAATAGAAAGTTTTTGTTGTTTGGCTTATGAGAGAGGGTTGCGAGAGATCTAAGATTTGCACCAAAAAGAAAGTTGGAAAATGAGTTGTATAGAGACCCAAAAGAACTATTTCTTTATAATTTATAGTTGGTATTATTGATTAACTATAGTTTATTTCTTGGAGTTTTGGGTTGAGGAGCTTTGACTATGGTTGGGTGAAGGGTAGTTGGGTCCTTTTTCTAAGATTAAGGGGAGAAGTTTATAGGTACCCACTTTTGGGGTCGTTATTGAAGTTATATCCGCATAAAAGTTATCCATCGGGATCTGAAGTTTTCTATCTCTTCAATGTAACTTTAGAATTGGATCGGAAGTTCTTCTATCTTTCCAATGCTACTTAAGAAAATTGGATCTTAATTAGTTATATCTCTTCAATGCAACTTCAGAATCAAATCTTAAGTTCTTCTCTCTTTCCGATACAATTTCAGAAATTTCGGATCTTAAGTTCTGAAGCATACACTTGTTCTTCAAATTTTAACTACCCAGCACACGATTTAATGCCTAAATCTACTCCAAAATGAGATCAAATTTGAAATGTAACTTTCAAATATGACAAAGAATAAATTCCAATCATCAAATTATCAAAACGATAACAAATCTAACAAACTCATTTTGCAAAGAAGAAGAAGAAACTCTAAACACAACATACAATGGTATTTTGCAACTAGTAGAAGAAATCAAACGGCTCCTCAATACATGGGACATGATTACATAAAAGAAGAAAGCAGCAGCGAAGCCTCCTGGATACATGGAACATGAATACAGAGAAGAAGAAATCAGTAGGGAAGAAGAAGAGAAAAGTGTATTTGAAGTTACCAAAAAATTAAATATCAGTTAAATTTTTTCTAAAAAAATAGGTACATTTTAGATAGGGGTGGCCAAATAGGGCACCCCATAATGTCCAATAAGGGTGACCAAATTGGTCACCCCATACTGATAGTGGACAGAGTAATGATAAAAGGTTACATTCATATGAATTTTTAAGTGAAATCATCTTAATTATTTTGAGAATTTGTCAACATCTGATTAATTTAGAGCAAATAAGTAATTGCAAAAGAAAACAAATGCATTTAATGGGTCAAACTCTAAATAATACATTGATTACATTCAAGCATCCGATAAGTGAAAACAAACATAGCCTTAGTGAAAGAGCACAAAATAAATAATTCTCAACAGACTAGTTACAATATTTGACCATAAAATCAAGAATTATAAGATCAAGTCATTGTCCTTCCAACTGCATCTTCTTGTTTTTTCCTAATTCAGTTTATGTTTCAAAAGTATTGGAGTAAAGCAGGAATAGAATGAAGGAATAATTCAATTGTTTAACTCAAAAATAAATTTCACGGTCAAAGTTAATATTTAGAAGAAATTGTGTTACTGATAACCACGATTTACTTCACTTTCCCAATAATTTGAAGAATAAATCAAGGAATGAAAATAATTGACAAAACACATAAGAAACAGATTGATAATCACTCCCAAAATTACAGTTTAGAACTTTGAGAATGAAATAAAGAATGATTGCATAAATTTCAATAAGTATCTGATGCCATTACAAATGAGGTCTCAGTCCTTATATAAGAGCATACAATTATAACGGTTCCCTTACTTAATTCGGGCTCACTAATAGTATTAATTGCCTTGATTGCACATTACCATATACAATTATAATGAAAATATTTATGGCTAAAGATTTCTTGTAACCATATCTATTTTTCTTCCTTATTTATGACAACTTTGTGCATCTTCCCTTCTTAATCGCCTTTATTCATTCCGTTCATGTTTCTCCTTTTACAATTGTCAGGTCCAACTCTTTTCTCAGTATAACCTCGTGGGTGTTCCTCCCGTGCCTTTTCCGCATTTTTAACTCATTTAATTAAGAACGCTACTTGTCACTATATTGGTGGTCCACGTACCATGCCCTGTCACCTCATTGATAGTCCACGTGTCATGCCTTCTTTCCACTAATACGTCAATCTTCCATCATTTCAGAGTCGACGCCTTCTTTTCTGCATTGCTATCTATACTTCCCATCCCAGCAAATTATGGAACAAGCAACGGTTCTCGAGCGAAAACTTTTGGTTTCGCTTGCACATTTCTGGGTTTATTACATATGACGAATTTCAACGATGAAAAATGATTCTATAAAAGATCTCATATATATTAATTTCAAATCTCTAATAAAATTAAAGATCTCGAGAGATTTAATATAAAACTAAAGAAACTATGTAACGATCAAAATTAATTGAACCATCTCGCGACTCGACAAGAAAGCTCCGACGTTTCATCGAAGTCGAATTCGAAAGTAGATAAATCCGATTTTATTGGTAAAGGTCTTGTAGATTCATATATAACATTTCCACTTGAGATGCAAATGATGTTTTCAATTCTTTTTGTCATAGTGGGTAACTTGGTATTATGGAGATGTTATTGTTCCTTGCTAATACTCTTGCTAATTAGTATGATATTTCTTTTGGGCTTTTGATGAGATGACATTCAAAAATGGTCTCCTAGACCACTAATCCACTACGATAGTATGTTATGGAGACATGGTAATCTCAACGTAACAAATTGCACGGCTTGTCCTCATAAAATATTGATATTTATTAAGAAACGAGAGCAAAATAGAACAATATACTAATTGAGACAAAATAAATATGAGGGAGAATATTTTTTTATTTCTTTTCTTGGTATATCTTTCATAGGGTCAAAAGTTCCCTATTTATAAAAGTACAAATTCATTCACTAGTTATAAGTTAATGTACTTCTTAATTGAGTACATGAATACAAAGTACGTTAAATGGACATACAAATGCATTCATCTCACTCACATGCATTCATCTCATTTATAACACCCCCTTGGATGTCCATTTAAAAGATAATGTGCCTCGTTAAAACCTTACTAGGAAAACCTAGTGGGAAAAAGTCTAGTGAAGGAAAAAAAGTACACATATCTTGTAATACGCATTGAGTGCCGCCTCATTACAAACCATACTAGGAAAACCCACTTGAGACAAAACCTTGGTTAAGGGAAAAAGAGTACAACACGTATTATGCTCCCCTTGACGAAAGCTTTATTTGATATCTCGGAGACGACGCATTCCAATCTTATGTCTCAGCTTCTCAAATGTTGATGTTGTCAATGCCTTAGTGAATAAATCTGCTAGATTGTCACTTGAACGGATTTGTTGAACATTTATCTCACCATTTTGCTGAAGATCGTGTGTGAAAAAGAACTTGATGAAATGTGCTTTGTTCTGTCTCCTTTGAATATCCTCCTTTAAGTTGAGCAATGCAAGCAACATTGTCTTCATACAATATCATTGGAATCTTCGTTTTTAAAGAAAGACCACACAATTGTTGAATATGTTATGTCACTAATCTCAACCATACACATTCTTGACTAGCTTCATGAATAGCTATTATCTCTGCATGATTGGAAGATGTAGCAGCTAAAGTTTGTTTTGTTGAACTCCATAAAATAGCTGGACCCCCACAAGTAAATAGATAGTCTATTTGAGACCGGGCTTTATGTGGGCCAGACAAATAACCTGCATCTACATAACCAATCAACCGTGAATCGGATTTATAAGAATAAAATAATCCCATATCAATAGTCCCTCGGAGGTATCTAAAAATATGCTTAACACCATTCCAGTGTCTTGTTGGTGGAAAGGAACTAAATTCTGCTAATAAACTTACTGCAAAAGTTATATCTAGTCGAATATTATTTGCAAGATGCATTAGTGCCCCAATTGCACTAAAATATGGAGTTTTATCACCAAGAAGCTCTCCATCATTTTCATGAGGACGAAATAGATCTTTATTTATATCAAGTGATCTCACAATCATCAGGGTACTCAATGGATGTGCTTTATCCATATAAAAATGCCTTAGGATCTTTTCGATATAAGTTGATTGATGAACAAAAATTCCATCTTTCATATGCTCAAATTGTAGACCAAGACAAAATATTGTCTTTCCAAGGTCTTTCATTGCAAATTCTTTCTTCAAGCAATCTACTGCTTTTGGAAGTTCCCCAGGAGTTCCAATGATATTTAGATCATCAACATACAAAACGATTATAACAAATTCAGATCCAGATCTTCTTATAAATACACAAGGACAGATTGGATCATTCTTATACCCTTCTTTCAGCAAATACTCACTGAGGCGATTATACCACATTCGCCCTAATTGTTTCAATCAGTATAAGGATTTTTGAAGCTTTATTGAACAAGTTTCCGAAAACTTTTATTAGTTTCAGGAACTTTAAGCCCTTCAGAGATTTTCATATAAATTTCGTTATCTAATGTGCCATATAAATAGGCTGTGACAACATCCATTAGATGCATATCACGTTTTTCATGGACCGCCAAATTTATAAAATGCCTGAAAGTGATTGCATCCACAACAGTAGAATATGTCTCCATATAATCAATGCTAGGTCTTTGCAAAAATCCTTGTGCCACAAGTCGTTCTTTATATCTAATGACTTCGTTTTTATCATTTCGTTTTCGAACAAAAACCCATTTGTATCCCACTGGCTTTATTTCTTCAGGTGTTCGGACTATACGTCCGAATACTTTATGTTTTTCTAGTGACGCTAATTCTGCCTGAATAGCGTCTTTCCATTTTGGCCAATCATTTCTGCGTCTACATTCATCGACAGATCTTGGTTCAAGATCCTCATCTTGTTGCATTATTTCAATAGCAACATTATAAGCAAAATATTGTCGACAATAATATTATTTCGGTTCCACCTTTTTGCCGTAGAGACATAACTTATTGAGATCTCTTCATTCTTATTATTTTCAGGTAAATGTACCTCCTCTGAGGTCTTATCATTTGTTATGTCACAGGGCTCTTTTTGAGCAATTGCCTCCATATTATGATCTCCTAGATCATTTGCTCCTTTTCGCTTTCGAGGATTTTTATCTTTGGAACCAATTGGTCTACCACGTTTCAAGCGTGGCTTTGACTCATTTGTATTTATAGATTGTCCAACCGGGACATCAATTCGAATAGGAGCATCAGTAGTTTGAATAA